CTGTATATAACAGTATTAGAATGAATTTGATAAACAGTAGAATAAGGTTGAGTAAGTGTGGGGTGAAATTTGGTCTAATTTATAATATGAGTCTTTAGACAATGATGATAAAAAGAATCTTATATATAAAGAAAGTAAAAATGCATTCAAATTTGGAGATTGCAAATGTTAATTCTTTGTGAAAGACTTATATTCTAGATAAGTACACATGTTTTATAAAATGTTGATATCAGTCTTCTACTGACTAAATCACAGCATATACTTGAGGAGGCTCAGAGAAATCCTTTTTAAAGTGATACTTTTTATAAAACTCTGAGTATTGCACAAAAAGTATTTTCAGTTGCATTGTCAGTTTTCTTAACTTCTGGAGAAGATTTGGAATTTTATGTGGAAATCATGAAAATATCAAAGATAATACAGATATGTAAAATGTACTGCAAATTATATTCCCCTCCACCAAAAAAAAAAAAAAAAACCACAAATAAAAAAAAAAGGGTATAAAGAGAGAGAGAATCAGAAAATTAAAAGAAAATATGTTAATAATCAGGTATTTGGAATTAAAAAAATACCCATTAAAATAACATGTGAAATCAAAATTAAAAAAAAAAATCAATATAAGATTAAAACAGCAATTTTAAACTAATGATCAATTCATTCATAGATCATGACAATGCATATATATCATATATATAATAAACATATTGATAAAATGAATAATGGTGGAGATTATGTACCTGCATTTCTGGTACATGTAATGATAAACAGCAGAAAAATAATTATAAGAAAAGAAAATTTAAAATATTACATAAAGAGTTTTCAGAAATGATATGCATAAATTGCCATCAAGTGAAATACAAACTGCTGACACATTAAAACATCAAGTAAAACTTTTCATTTAATGAAGTATAGAAAATTATAAACAGAAAAGACACTTACGTATCTGCAATGAAAAGTATATTAAAAAAATGTGCATTTTAAAGATGTTAAGTCAAAGATGAAATACGAGTATAGGGACATGAACAAGTGCTGCAGATGATTTGAATTAAGTAAGAAAACAATGCACCTAACATATCAAAACCAACAATTCAAACATTATTCTGATATGACTTTCTCTTTGCATCAACCAACTTGATTAGCAAATAATTTTTCAACAGTGACATTCATTAAAATCAACAAGATGGTTTCTATCTGGACTTTACTAGTGACTAAGAATTGGTAATCTGATTCAACTGCTAGGAAGGCATTTGGTAAACTGTTGAAAGAAGCAGTGGAAAAATATTGAAAATATTCTAATTTGGGAGGGTGACATTAATCAGAATTTTGAACATTCAATTCTCATGTACATCTAATTTAATAAGGTAAAAATTTGAAAATATTTTACTGGAGAAGGAAGATAAATGAAAACTGAAAGAGATAAGAAGATAAAACGAAAATTAAGAACAAACAGAGAACAAAGAAAAAGAAGTAAAAAAAATACAAAGGATTTTTTAAATGTTCTACACCAGACCAAGAAGGGATTAAAAAAAGAATTCTAATGTTTGGTCTGATTTGAGCCAGGCTGAGAATTTTTCAGCACCACCTTGTACAAAGGGAAGAAAAAGATTGAAAGCAATAACAAAAAGAAATAAGCCTATGAAAACAATGTTATAGCACAAAGAAACAAAAAGAGAATGAAAAGATGAAAAATAAAAAATAAAGTTGGTAAAAATAAAAAAAGCATAGACAAATAAAAAAATAAGTTGACTTAAAAAAGAAGCTTGGCACTTAGCATTATGTAGATGAGAGGAAGAAGCCTTTATGCTAACAAAGATAATGTTGAGGACCCTATATGCAGGAGAGATGCACATGCACCATAAAGTAAGATTTTACAATATTCTTAAACACAACAGACACTCAAAGTGCAGGGTCAAAAATGACAAGAAAAAAAAGGAAAAGACTAAGTTTTAAAGAATCCATATAACATCACACTAAATTAAAAAAAACACAAAGAAAAAGAAAAAATACACACAAATATTGAAAGGAAAATTTATTAAAGGGTAGAATTAAAAAAATTCAGAACCATATTAGAAATTTGACAAGACACTGATGTAAAAACTACAATAATCACATGTAGGTAGAACATTTGACTAGAAGAATACAATAAAGGCAATACAATAAAAGCAAATTGTTATACAGTTGGGAGATTAAATAACATATAAGAGCCATGATATCTCAATTATGACTGGCTCAACAATATTGTTTTACAAAACACCATCAATCTTCAACTTAAAATTCCCAGTAGATGACTGTAATTAGATCTGTGAGCTAAAGTCATTAGCAAAAAGATTTCAGATCAGTTCATTTATCTACACAAGTGGAATGGGCAATACTGCATACTAAAGACACATTATCTATCTCTCTCTCTCTCTATAATATATATATATATATATATATATATATATATATATATACACACACACAGAGACATACCCGTGTAAATGCTCATAGATGCACGTGTATACATACACACATGAATGTGTATGCATACACATATACATGTGTATCTATGTGTATTTACATGAGTGTGTATGTGTATCTCTCTCTCTCTATATATATATATATACACACACACACACTCAAACAAGTATACACATATGTATGCATACACACAAAATACAAACACATATATATACACACAAACAAGTATATATGGTGTGTATATATACACAAACACAGTATGTATATACACAAATATATACAGTGTATGTGTGTATATATATATATATATATATATAAGTAACGAAAATCTTGATAATCCATATGGATAATCCAAAGGAGCATGAAATCCTGAGAGCTCAATGTTAAGTCAGAGTGAATAATTTAATTTAAATGAAAAACAGACCACTTTAAGGCTCTATTATAATAATTTATTTCACCAGAGAAACGAAAAATGAATTTAAAATTTACACTTTTGACAGGCAGTATTAAGCTTATATAAGTTGAATTAGAGGGTGATGAGGAATGGTGTGAGAGACATGGTCGAGTTGAGTCTTTATTAGAATATTCTAACTTTCAATTGAAAAAACTTGTTTCTCGTCATCACCGGAAGTATCTGTAAAAATAACATAGCGAATTTTTTTTTCATTTTTTTTTTATCACACACATTAATTTTGAAAATCTTGCAAAAATAGAAATAATTGTCAGATTTTAATGAAACTTTCAGAAACTATTTAGGAATGATGGAAATTATTATAAATGTTATTTTTTTTTTTTCTTATAAAGTCATTATAAAAATATATTATATATATATATATATATTCACAAATTTATTATAAATAAATTAATTAAAACTCAAAAAAAATTTATGTTCGAATCACGCAAGTCATTATAGTTAAAAAACACAAGACTTTGAGAAAAAGTAAATCATGTTTTATTTTTTAAAATCTGACCACGTAAACCTAAAAATCAGCTCTGAATTGTAACATACAAAACCCAATAAAACAAAAATACTATTTAATTTTAAATGCTTTTAGTTGCTTTTCTTTGTTTTTTATCAATATGGATAATATTTTCTGAAGGCACAAAATTTTTCGATGAAAATGAATTTTAAATGAATTAAATGTTATTTAATAAATTATTTTATTATTTTTTACATAAAGCTACTAAATGTTGTTAAATATTCTAAAATATTCTAAAATTAGCGGTACTGGCGAAACCTGTATATAATGTTTTAGTGTCGAAAAAAAATTTAAATCAAATGTACGGAGGCCCAGAAGAAACATGATCCAATAAAAACATCACGTGACTTGATTTGTACGGCTCTGTTAACGGCCTTTACATTTATAAAATTACTTTAAAAAATATAATTTCCATCATTCCTGAAAGTTTCATTAAAATCTGACAATTATTTCTATTTTTGCAAGATTTTCAAAATTAATGTGTGTCATAAGAAAAAAATGAACAAAAAAATTTGCCATGTTATTTACTAAAGTTCCGGTGATGACAAGAAACAAAATTTTTTCAATCAAAGTTAAAACGTTCTAATAAAGACAGAAAAATTTTAAAAATAATGAAAAATTACTTTGTTCTTTCCCTTTTGGTAATATTAACAAACATTTTGGTAATAAAATTCTGCTTTAAATCACTTATGACCTTCTGTACTATAAATTTCCGCACGTAATATGTCAGTGCGTGATGAAAACCCGCACATATCATTTGTCAATCAACACCGCAGTTCAGACCGGCCTTCTCCCATTTGAAAAAACATGTTTTCATCACAGAAAATAAGCAATCTTTTTTCAAAATATACTAAATAAACTTTATAATTTTTAATTTTTTAAAATTAGTTAAAAAAATCATAATTGATTTTTTTAAATAAATTTTAAACAGCAACATTCACTTTTGTAAACAAAAGTTAAAAAAACGGGAGATTATCGATCGATTTTGGACGTGCTAGAAATTAATAATAAAATTTTAAAAATATTCAAAAATACTTTGATCATTCCTCTTGATAATAACATTAACATTTATACGATAAAAAATTGTTTTAATCAAATTTAAGGCCTTTTTTTTCATTCATGGTATTTTTTTTATCGATCTCATAAATTAATTAGATACCTTTCTTATGAAATTTAATCTCACTAACAACAGTCATCTTATTTTTTAATTTCTTTATATTTTCCATAAAGCATCGTGAACGTAAAGATGAAAGCTAAGTACAAAAAAAAAATAAAATAAAATAAAAAAAATAGAGCGCTGAAAGTTTTTCCTTAAAAAGTAACGAGGTAAATAATTTGTTCAATTAAATCTAAATAATTTCACTTCCTTCCATCCGTAGAAAGAATTATCCTCCCGTAAATTATCTAAACGTCATGAATCTGTAAGCGGGCGGTCCAGTGGCCCCGTATCACGGAAAGGGGTGAACGAGGTCACAAGAGGCCCGCTAACATTTTTGAAGACGTTAAATCTGACCGTGAAACAATATGGACGACAGAACGAGGATATATATGATATGTAGAGGTTTATTCTAAAAGGAAAAGGAAATGAAGATGGTCGGAAACGGTGGAGGTGCTGGAAGCTGCAGGAGTGCTGGATACTGCAGGAGTGAGCCGGATGCTGCTGGATACTGCAGGAGTGCTGGATGCTGCAGGAGTGCTGGATAATGCAGGAGTGAGCCGGATGCTGCAGGAGTGCTGGATACTGCAGGGTGAGCCGGATGCTGCAGGAGTGAGCCGGATGCTGCAGGAGTGAGCCGGATGCTGCAGGGTGCTGGATACTGCAGGAGTGAGCCGGATGCTGCAGGAGTGCTGGATACTGCAGAAATTTTAGTGCAGGCATTGATGGTCGAGGTTGGCAGTTGCTGGGATCATCGTTGTTGGGGTTGAAGCTGATGTGGGTTGTTGCCAGGATGATCGCTTGGTGGTTGTTGATGTTGAGTGATGCCAGGATGATCTTTGTTGGTTGAAGCTGAGTCGTTGCCGGAGTGCCAACTTGTTGCTGTAGTTCGTGTTGCCAACGTTGTTTGTCATTGCCTGGATGCCAACTTGACGTGTTGGGAAGGAAGAGAGAGATGAAGATCCCAACTATCGTCAAGTTGGCAGACAAAAAAGAAATGGGAGCGTAACTTACAGCCCGTAGATCAGCGCCCTTGGCCAATGAAGGCCAAGGTGCCTGTGTAGACGACCGTTGCGGCCGCCGACAGCCTCCTCAAAGCTTGGGAGAAATCACTGTCTTGTGTCGAGGGGGACCAGCAAGAGAAATTGGCTAAGCTAACCGAAAAGTCTCTATAAAAAAATACTAAAGGTTAGCTAAAGATAACTATGGTCTAAAAATGACTAGATGTATATTACACCTAGGTTTGTAATATAGCCTAACTAAAAAAGGGGATTTGCTAGTCCCTCTGACGTGTTAACAGTGTGTGAGGAGTATGAATGAGAGGTCAAGGTCGAAAAGACCTGTTCCTCTGCTGGTTCAAGGACAGAAGGAGGAGGTAACTCCGACAAATCTGTCTTTCGTCACCTGTCAAAAGACGCGAAAGGTTATGACCTGCTTTGTTTTATTTTCAAATTACATGAAAATGATTGCTTATCTGTCCTTTTTTTGACCAAAAAAAAAAAACTATTTTTAACGAAAATTTCAGACGTGCTAGGAACGATTAAATAAAAAATGTAAAAAAATACCTCAAAAATACTTTGATCTTTCCTTTTTAATAATAATATGAACATTAATTCGACTCACAGAATTACGCATATTTTGGGGAATTAAGCTAGCTTCTCAATCTTCTCAATCTCTTCGACAAATTTCGACGATTCTTCTCAACACACGTGGAAATTCTATTCAACACGACGTCAGCTAACAGTAAAAATATCCACGATTTCATTACGATGACTACAAATCCAGGCCTTCATTTCAATCATCTATGCTTCACACCGCCCACGTTTCAGATGTACAAAGCAGCCTTAAAAAGGCAACTCACCGCCCTTTATGCGACACGAATGGTCGAAGAATTTGCCAGAACGATATTCTATCGTCAATAATACCAAATTCTGAAACATACATTTAACACTCGGTATTCTGCTCAACTTAGCGACTACGCTGCTTCTATTAACTTTTGTGCGCCAATTATATCCACGCAATTTTGAATTTTAACATTATAAAAAAAAAACACGCCCACAAAAACACACACACGAAACGAAAGTCATCCCGCTGTCAATATAACGCTAAAAAAAAGTGGTATACCCTAGAGAAAAAGTTCCCCAAATTGAAAAAAAAAAAAAAAAAAATTAACGTAAGGGTTAATAATAATTTTATCAATATCTCACTTACATTCAGAAGTCACGGTAAGGTTGGACGTCAAATTTAAAGCGGAAGAAGTCAATCTGGTTAAGTGTCTGGTTAAAATGTCTGGTTAAATGTCTGGAGATTTATTTATTTTTTATTTTATTTTTTTTTTTTTCTGAAAGGGTTTTGTGTATATAAAAAAAAAACTGTCGTAAATCACTAACATAGCATGATGAAAAAAAAAAAAAATTCCGAACTTGACGAAAACAAAAATTTATCGTCTAATGTTCATATTAAAAGAGGAAAATGATCAAAGTATTTTGGGGGTATTTTTTTTACATTTTTTATTTAATCGTTCCTAGCACGTCTGAAATTTCCGTTAAAAATATTTTTTTTTTTTTTTGGTCAAAAAAAGGACAGATAAGCAATCATTTTCAATCATTTTTTTCGATTTGATAAAAAAGATTAAAATCTGATTTGATATTCTTTTAAAAATCAATTATCATTTTTTCAAAACTTATTTTAATGAAAACAGAAATTATACTGTTTATTTAAAATATTTTGAACCAAACTTAACAGCTTCTGCGCCGAAAAATGTAATTTGAAAATAAAACAAAGCAGGTCATAACCTTTCGCGTAGCTTGACGATTGACGTTTAGATAACTTTGTTGGAGGATAATTCTTTCTACGGATGGAAGGAAGTGAAATTATTTAAGTGAACAAATTATTTACCTCGTTACTTTTAAGGAAAACTTTCAGCGCCCTAATTTTTTAATTTTTTTTTTTTTTTGTACTTAGCTTTCATTTTTACGTTTACGATGCTTTATGGAAAATATAAAAAAATTAAAAAAATAAGACTGTTAATAGTGAGATTAAATTTCATAAGAAAAAGGTATCTAATTAATTTATAGGTACCTTTCTTATGAAATTTTATCAGAAGTGTACATACTATAATTTTATGTACATTTATTACATTTTACTGTGTTATTTGTATTTCCATTCATTTTATTATTAATTTTGATATTTCATTTATGGAAAAATGTCATAACTGAGATTAATATAACAATAAGATCATATAAATTAAAGTTTAGCAGTAGTTAAATTTCATAAGATGATACTGTTACTTGTAGGTACCCTTCTCAGTTGAAATTGAAAAATCAAATTAACTTCTCCATACGTGTTTTGCAAATGCTGAATTCAAATAATGAAACTAAATTGTATTCTGGTTGGTCTTCCGTACTTTATAATTAGCGCCCGATTATAAACACAAATTACATTTCTTTTAATTACTTCCGATCTTCTGATTGGTCCAAATGATACAATTTTCAAAGCGCGAGACAATGACAATCTCATACGGACACTTTGAATGTTTGACGTTGCTTTTAACTAATGTCATAATATTTTTAAAAAAACTTAATGTAAAAATCTATTATAATTAAAGAAATAACAAATAATTGTATTAAAAATTCAGTTTTCATTGTAAAAAATTTTTGCTTTCAGAAAATATTGTCCATATTCATATAAACAACTAAAAATGGCATGCAAGCATTTGAAATTAAATAATATCTTTGTTTTATTGAGTTTTGTATGTTACAATTCAGAGCTGATTTTCAGGTACGTGGGATCCAACCAATTAAAAAAAAAAAAAAAACAAAAAAAATGATTTGCATTCTTCAAAGCCTTGTGCTTTTAACTATTGGCTGTCACTAAGGTTGATGCGCTCGAATTTCTAGAGTTTTCATAAAATTAGTTATGGGGTTTTAATAAATATAAAAAAAATATTTTGTTTTCATAAAGTTTGGCGTTTTTTCATCAGACTATGAGGTCTATTTTTTTAGCGATTTCGTGGAGTTACCTATAGGATACGTACCTCCACGAAAATCGCTAAAAAAACAAAAAAAGTGTTCTAAACTTTACGAAAACAAAAATTTTATCGAGAAAAATGCTTGTTATTATAAAGAGGAAAGACCAAAGGGTAAATTTTCATTGTAACACTTTGTTTTCTAGCGCTAATATCCCTTCAAATCTTTCCAAAATAGTCTTATTTCCGTGCAAATGTATATGCTTAACTCAAATCAACAATTAGAAACCTACCTTTTTTCATGTTAACGACCAGAAAAATTATTCTTGCATTTTTCCATTTCCTAAATTCGTCCTTCCCATGTCGAATTTCTGGGCTGATAGCTGTTGTGGTTTAAAAAATGCAGGCGTCTATGAAAACTATATATATATATATATATATATATATATATATAGAGAGAGAGAGAGAGAGATAATCACAAAATTTTTTATACTGAAAGATTTTCATATAATGGTTGCTGTTGAGAAAATAATATTTTAAAGTCTGTATTCTTGTACTGTTAAAAAATTACATGTAACAAAACTAAACAGAGTTAAATAGATATATCTTGTATAAAAAGAAAGTTTTGCTCCCTGTGAAGATAATGTAGACATCAATGCAAAATTATGATGATTTTTAGGAAATGCAATTATAAAGCCTAATCATTAAACCAATCACTTCATCAATCCAATGTAAACATCATTTACAACTTCTGTTAAGGCCATTTCACTAGTTCCTTGTTTTTTCTGCATTTGAACAGTCTCTATATAACAACTGACAGATTCAATGTTTTTACAGGAAGGTAACTGAAAGTATTTTCCTTTTATGTGTGATAAAATTATTTTTTATTCAAATGTCATTGATATCAATAAGAGCTAAAAAAATTCATATACTGAAAACAATGTATTAAAAAAATATTTATTACCTATTAAAATTTTACTTGAAAAACTTAAATATATTGAAAACATAAATTATTTTACAAGTTTATTTTTGCCATTTTCTTCCTAAGTGATTTCTTTGAGTGTCAGCAGATAATTGTTCTGTTTTTACACATCTTTGAAATTTACATGGGATACTTGCTTGCCATAATTTCAAAGGGCATTATTATATTGAGAGTAGAAGGGATCTTTACTGATGAAAATTATTAATCAAATGAAAATGAAATGAGGATTGGGAGGTTCTAAATGCATCATGATGAACATCCAAATTCAAGACTAACCCTTCTGATTGAGGAATAAATACAAAAAGAATCTGAGTAAATGAATGACAAAAAAATGAAGTCTTTAGTGATGTACTTCATTCCAACAAGCAACTTCTTCAGACCAATAATCCCATCAACAATTTTTTTTTTTTTACTATTGTTCACCCAAGAAACATGTATGTTAAATGGTTACTGAATGGTTGATTTGGGCACCTTGATGTGGTGTAATGGTTAGCAAACTTATCTCACTAGAGCACTTACAACTGAGTCATGAGTTTAATCTTCACTGGGTGCCCCATATTTCTGGCCTTGTGTCATTTCTAAGCCACGCTTAGAAAATCACCATAGGACAGTTGACTGACTGACTAATGTGTTTATTTTACAGCTTAACCCTTTGTGGGTTATTTGAAACCAAAACATATTTTGGATTGTAAGAATGAATCATTTTATTTTTTGTGAATGATTTTTCCAGATATAAATCCTACTATTTAACCCATAGCTGGAGGAAAAGATTGATTCGTACCTTTCCCCAAAATATTTGTGCGTAAATGAATGCAAGAAACTTGACAAGCCAATGTAGCTATCTTTTATGAGGAAAGGTGGGGAGAAAAATACAATAAACATTGGTTACAATGTTACATTCAAAATGTTAGATACAAAGGTACCAAACTTTAAATTCTGATATCTAGATTATGTACATGTCTAACTTAGATGATTTCATTCTACTTTCTATTGCTTCACCCCACTTATTGTCTTTATTTATCCAGTGTTTTATCAACATTAGTCTTGTGAGAAAAGAAGACATGTTATGTGATCCCAGACATGAATTTACTGTTGAAGATTCTGACATTAGTTGACATTCAATGCATTTTTGCATTAATAATTTTTTGTCTTTTAATTAAAACTGCATTCTTTAAGAAGGAATCTTCTGAACCTTACATTTTTCAACATCAAAAATTAGATTTCTTATTTTCATAAAAATGACTTGATAATTTATCCCATGTAAAGCAAAGATAGAATTTGGAAACATAAATAGAATTAAAAAAATAATTTGTTTTGATTAACATCGATTAGCTTAAAAAAAAAAAAAAAATTGTAGTAATGGCATAGAAATTATCACACAGATGTAAAACTTTTCCCAAAAAATGTATCTAAAAGTGACATTCTATCCACCCACCAAAAATATTCACTATTCCGCATGAAAAATTAAGGAAGATTTGTTTCAGAGATATTTCACAATATTCTTTTTTTAAAATTTATTATCCTTTTTAAGGTCAGAAAAATGAAGTGATTAAATTTTTATTAAAGCAACAAATGTATAAAATGTCTTTGTAACCCCTGTCCACCCAATCTTGTTTTGAAAATTATTCATGTGGTTGTTATACAAAGAGATATGCTGAAGGGAAGCAAGAATTTTACAATTTTTTTCAACATAAGTAAAAATTATTTTCTCTTAAAACTTATTAAAACTTGTTATCATTAAAAAAAAGACTTTGCTGATATGAAATATTTTTATAAAAATTGATAAACTCAGGTTTTATTAAATTTATCCTTTTATTTTCTTAAGAAATGAAATTGTAATGCATTTAAAATTGACTGAAATATTGCAGAACTAAAAGAGACTTTTTCTCATCTTTTAAAAAAGTCATTTTAATGACAGAAAATATCAATAAAATTAAGTGAAGATGATTATGTCAGAAAGGGATAGGGGCTGTTTTCATTGTACTGTCAAATGTACATTTCCCTTTATTACAAATTTAAATAGATATTTAAACAAAAATTATCTCGTTACATTTGGAAAGTAAAAGAGAGAGTTCAATTCAATTTACAAATTGCAACATCTTACCTACTAATTTATGTTTATGTGTATGTGATACAGTATTGAATAAGTTTTATACAGAAATCAAATAAGACAAAATGTTTCATGTACAATGTGTGTTCTTTTTAAAAAAAACTGTGAGAGATTTCAGTAAGATAGAAGCAAGAACAGGGAAGTGAAATCCATGCATAGACATCTGAAAAAAGTAATGAAAAGATTGGGGAATATATGAAAGAAGGGCAAAAATGAAAAGATTATATATAAAACAAGAAAAGAAATGAAAAGATTGTAGAATATATGAAAGAAGGGCAGAAATGAAATGATTGGGGAATATTTGAAAGAAGGGCAGAAATGAAATGATTGGGGAATATATGAAAGAAGGGCAAAAATGAAAAGATTATATATAAAACAAGATTGTAGAATATATGAAAAGGGCAGAAATGAAATGATTGGGGAATGTATGAAAGAAGGGCAGAAATGAAAAGATTACATAATACATAAAAAAAGAAAAGAAATGAAAAGATTGTGGAATATATGAACGGGAAGAAATGAAAAGATTATAGAATATATAAAAGAAGGGCAGAAATGAAATGATTGGGGAATATATGAAAGAAGGGCAGAAATGAAAAGATTATATATAAAACAAGAAAAGAAATGAAAAGATTGTAGAATATATGAAACAAGAAAAGAAATGAAAAGATTGTAGAATATACGAAAGAAGGGCAGAAATGAAATGATTGGGGAATATATGAAAGAAGGGCAAGATTGTAGAATATATGAAAAGGGCAGAAATGAAATGATTGTAGAATATACGAAAGAAGGGCAGAAATGAAATGATTGGGGAATATATGAAAGAAGGGCAAGATTGTAGAATATATGAAAAGGGCAGAAATGAAATGATTGGGGAATATATGAAAGAAGGGCAGAAATGAAATGATTGGGGAATATATGAAAGAAGGGCAAAAATGAAAAGATTATATATAAAACAAGAAAAGAAATGAAAAGATTGTAGAATATATGAAAAGGGCAGAAATGAAATGATTGGGGAATATATGAAAGAAGGGCAGAAATGAAATGATTGGGGAATATATGAAAGAAGGGCAGAAATGAAATGATTGGGGAATATATGAAAGAAGGGCAAAAATGAAAAGATTATATATAAAACAAGAAAAGAAAAGAAATGAAAAGATTGTAGAATATATGAAACAAGAAAAGAGATGAAAAGATTGTAGAATATATGAAAGAAGGGCAAAAATGAAATGATTGGGGAATATATGAAAGAAGGGCAAAAATGAAAAGATTATATATAAAACAAGAAAAGAAATGAAAAGATTGTAGAATATATGAAAGAAGGGCAGAAATGAAATGATTGGGGAATATATGAAAGAAGGGCAGAAATGAAATGATTGGGGAATATATGAAAGAAGGGCAGAAATGAAAAGATTGGGGAATATATAAAAGAAGGACAGAAAAAAAAAATGTATGTTTGTGTTTTTGCATATATTTGTGCATATGCATATTTTTACTATTTCATACCAACACTACTGTTACTTCCAAAAATGATTATCTTTTTTCCTATCCACCTTTAAATATGTATTTGCAGTTGAGTCAGTTTGTAGCAACATCTATACTCATGTCTGTTACTTTGCACCCTATTATTTTTCTTCATTTTAAAAGAAGTATGCTATGATTATTTGGAACCTAGAATTTCATTTCAATACAAGGTAACTTCCAAACTTAATTTAGAGTTATCAAAATCTTCAAAAAGATATTTACATATTTATAATGAAAAATTTTGTTTAAAAATAGAACAAGACAAAATAACATTAAGCCTAATAGTTTGTAAGCTTCCGTTATGGCAAATGCATAAAAATTCCACTTTGAGAAGAGATATTTTAGCACAATAAAAATTTAATATTGTGTTGAAAGAAAATGTTATGGTTAAGGAGTGCATGAGAACAGTAGAGAGAAAATGAGACATTGAATGAGAGTGAGTGTGAAAAATATAGAAATATAGAATTAATTCAAAGAGAGGGGAAGAAGGAGGAAGAAAGATATATATGTAAGGTAATGAAAAAAAATAAAAACAGAGAAATAAAAAAAGAAGAGAGAATAATGCAAGAAAGGAAGAGGAAAATGAAAAGATGGTTATTAAAAAGAGAGAAATATCAGATGAGAATAAAAGAGAGAGAAGCAAATACAAAGCCAAAAGTGATACCAACAGAAGGGGAAAGGGTATAAATAACAAGAAGCAAGTGAGAAAAGAAAGAGAACAAAGAGAAATATAATAAAGAGAAAAAGGGAGAGATATTGAGGATGGGTAGGGAATATAGGGCAATGCATAGACTGCTTGAGTGCAGCATTTTAGTGCCGATGGGCTTGAGACAGCTGTTAAACTATACCAGATGTGAAACAGCATTCTCACTGTTTACGTCTGAGATAGACGTTGTATGCAGAACACGTGCCCAGGCAATCATCATAATATGCTATGTTATAATCATTCTAAGGTTGAAATCATCAATTTCTCTCGTTAAAAGATCTCTATAAAAATAGGACATTTCAAGCTATTCTTGTTGGTCTTTTCCAATCTTAAACTGCCATTTGCAGTTGTTCATCTTTAAATGTTGGCATTATATCCAAGCCAGGACAGAAAGAATACAGAATGACAAAAATAACAAGAAATGGAAAAGGGAGAATGAATTTGGAGCAGTAGCAAAAAGAAATAAATATAAAATATTTAGTAAAAACTATACTTTAATATGTCACTCTTCCAACAGGAAATTAGTATGCAAGTTTGTTTGAAAAATAAATCTTTACAGTTGTATAGGATGCCAGAAATGATAATTTTACTTATGCATTAAAATATTTGAAATATATAAATATAAATATATTTCATTGCTGAAGATTTTTTTAAAGCTGTGAAATGTGAACCATTCAAGTTCCTTTCTTTAAAATTAAAACTGAAATAATTTTGATAAACATATTTTACTAGAATTATATAAGACAACCAGTTAATTTTAAAGACAAACATTTGTAGATAATATACTAGTAAAATATGCAGTGTCAGTATAATGCAAACAATACAAGTATAAAAATTTTATATATATAATAAAGAAAGAATTTTATAAATGTGAGAAAGAAGAAAAAATTGATGGTGGTGAGGGTGAGAACAGATGGGGGAGGGGTGCATTGACTATAAAAGTGATGATTACCAACGTCACACAAAGTGGAATACAGTCAAACTAATATATGATATATAATGGCGACCATGAACAATGTGTTTTTTTTTTTTTTTTTTTTTTTTTTTACTTCAGCTTCACAGTTGTCTTTCCTTTAATTAGTGCTGAATGTTGTCAGTTCAATAAGAAGCAGACATTCATTACCAGTTGCAGGGAATAATAGTCCCGTATCAGACTACAGTAAAGAATATCATTGCAGTCATTAGATACACATTAAAGATAGAAATGTTTAGTGATTCAACATTCAGGATTCACTCAATTGAACTGTGCTTTGGAAGGAGTTCAGTAGTTAGAGAGTGTGGCTACAAGGCATCATAGAATTTATTGTTTAACTGTGTGAGATTAACAGAAATAGGTGAATAAAGATTAATTAGAGAAATGAGGCAAAAATTCAGTTAAGACATGTACTTGTAAAGTAAATAGAACTCATTTTTAAATGCAACATTATCTTTTTTTGTGTTTTTAAATCCTCATGTGCAAATTTGTTTAACTTTATTTTGGGGCTTGAAGATATAACACAGGCACATACAAACTGAACTAGTCTCTTTCTTTCTTTGCATTTATTACATTAATTCATTTGTTTATATTTGTTTTATTAACACTGATGTTAAAAAGAATAAAATGAAGGATCAATGATTCAGGATAAGTTATTGTGATTGGCAACTTTGAATGAAGTATGAAAGTGATAAAGAGTGTTTATGTTTACACTTTTTATTATTACTATTGCATTTGGTTTGACTTGCACACAAGATATTGGGGCAGTTAGATCAGCTTAAACATTCTGAATTACCATGTTATGAAAGAGCAAAGGAAAATTTAGTTGAAAATTACCTAATTTCAGGAATAACTAAAATATCCTAAACTTTTTTGTATTTTAAATACCTAAATACTTACCAAACTGCTGTGACCTGAAGAAGAAAAAAAAAAATTATCAGTTTTAATACAAAAGGAAATATAATAAAATGATCTAGAAAATAATCAATACTTTAAAAAACTTAACTGAATAAATGCTGTAGATTCATATAACATTATCAAAACAAAAAATTACTTTAAGATATATAAAAATAAAAACCACTTAGAAAACAATTATTTTAATAGGTTGTATAAATACCATAAATTATCTTTTTATAAATTTCTAGCAGAAATATCTTAAGAGAATATTGAATTTTTAAAACAGCTGATGATCACATTAATTTCTTCTAACAGTACTTTATAGTTCCAATAAAGAAACCACCTGTTCAAATACTGAAGGAAAGCTGATGCAAAAAGGAATTTAAAAGTATCAAAACATTAGCAACAATTAAAATGTCTTGTAATCATCAAACATTTTTATGACTAAAAAAATAAGTTCCCAAATTGTAATAAATAGATATGAAAAATGCTAATGGCATGAAAGATGATTATTTATGAATGCATACACACAAAAGTAATTACAAAAATAAATAAAAGGCCACTTATATATCATACATACACTACAGGTAAAAAGTTTGGGCAATCTTGCATTTCTTTAAAAAACATCTTAATTTGAGATATTTTTGCACTTTTTTTTTTTTTTTTATTGTCCAGCTCAAAGTCCTTCCTTTTCTTTTGAATAGAAGTAGAGGTTTATCTCATGTGTTCTGTGTAGGATTTTTTTCATTCTCTTTCAGTCCTAGTAGCCCCTTGCATCTTTGTGACATTCTTGCTTGGGGTGAAGTGAAAAAGTGAAAAAAAAGTCAAAGATAAAATTTCACTAACTACAGTGTATTTGCTTTTATTTTATAGTATTTCTCCAGGTTCTTCTTACTACCAAAAAGTTCAAATTTGAATTCATCTGTTCACAATACATTTTGCAAATTTTGTATGAGAAACATAATATTTTGTTCTCATCATTAACGCCTCAGTAGACTTTTGAGATTATCAAAATTTTCAACTAGTTAAATGTTAATACAGGTTCTAAATATTAACTCGGCACTGACTAATGTTGTAAACAAAATATATGTAGCTGTCTGAAAAAAATAAAGATTATGCCATCATGACAGTAATCTTCCTGTTTTTTTTTTTTAAAATTATGAATTAATCTGCACAAAATGACAAAATCAAAGCAGCTAAACACTGAGGGGGAGAGCACAGATTGAAATGTTATTCAAAGACGGGTACTCTCAAAGACAAATTGGCAAGAAGTTAAAAATTTTTGGACATGGGTTCTAGTATTTGTTACAAAAGCACAGATGTTAAGAGAAAAAAAGCTGGAGCACCAAAAGTGACAACTGCTGCTCAGGATAAACATTTGATAAGTGAGAACAAAACAAAAAACAACAGAAGAATAACTGCTCCAGAGTTAACAGCCAAACTTAATTCTTCACAACAGAACCAGTGTCACTCTAGACTGTAAAAAAATCAACTTAGATCAGTGGGGTTCAGGGATGTATAGCCAACAAGAAACTCCTGTTACGGAAGGTGAATGAGCAGAAAAAACTGTTTTGGGAAAAAAAGTGGAAGAGCTGGACATTGAAAGAGTGGGAAAATCTGTTGTGGACAGACGAGTTCAAAGTTGAGTGTACGTGAGAAGAAAGACTGAATGATTAATGTGTGGTTCCAACAATTCAGCATAGTGGGGAGTCTATTATGGTGAAGAAAAAAAGAACAATATCATTCAATTTTTCAAAGACATCCAATACCATCTGGTTTATGCATGATTGGAAAAATATTCAACTTTCAACATGAGAACAATCCAAAACACTCTTCTAAATTATGTTAAAATTAACTCTAGTCAAAAGAAAGTAATAACATTTTGGGAAATTATGAATTGACAGAATCAATCTCCTAACATCTCTCCCATTGAATTAGTATAGGCTGAATTGAGTGTTTGAAGAGAATACCCAAAGTGTGAGAGTGACCTTTTTCAGTGCTTGAAGAATGCTTGGAAAGGTCTGATCTCTACTTTCTTCAAAAACTGAATTTGTAAAGCAATAATTAAGACAGGTGGTGGTTTTATTGATGAAAACAAAATATGATGTTTTATGATAATTTTTTATAGTTTTGTGCTTATTTTTTTATCGAAATATAAGTAAATACACTGTAGTTACTGAAATTTTATTTTTAACTTTAAAATTAAAAAAACAACTCATTTACGGTATTTTTTTTTTAACCGTATTGTAACTGTAGGTGAAAATTGTCACTGTATGAATTCTCTCCCTTTTATTTGAAGGTGCATTCTGTTGCTAAAGATAAACACTTGTTAACTGTTATTTCTGGTATTTTTCTTAACAAAAATGGCCACCTCAACATACAACTTCTTAAAGCTTCTTTATTCAAGAGTTTTTCTTTCATTCAGACTCTACTGATGATTTTGAAGGTTTTACTAAGGCAGATATTGATGGTGAAGTGGTTGGAGATGATAACCACACTAGTAATGGGGAGGAAAGCTGTGATGACCAAGAGGTGCTGATCAGCTACTATTAATCATGGCTGACTAATTTTATGGAAGATAATTATTTTGTCTATTTATAAATGACAAAATAATAACTTTATTTATCAACAAGACAAATTAATATGCTAGTTAGGTGAAGGAAAGGAGAGGAGAAAATGCTAGTGTCTTTTTGTACATAAGCACTAGGAAGGACGTCACTATTGATAACATGAAGGCCTTTATAGCCATTTTGCTTCTTACCTGACTCATGAAATGGTCATCATTTGAACTGTATTGCCAAGAATTTTGCAATTTTTCGGATAAGTCTAATGCAAAACCTAGGCACCACCCTGAACATGATAGGGCATTCAAGATTTGTTCACTTTCCAAAAGACTTGTGCCACTTTGGCAGAAATACTTTTATCCCAGAAATCATTATTTAAAGGGGTTCTACTCATGTACATACTCGAAAACCCAACCAGGTGGGGCTTATAAGCCTGGGGGCTAGCCGACATGATAACCAGCCACCTCTAAAATTGGTAGCTGCATTTAGGCAGAGAAACAACTCAGGCACCAAGGACAATTGGTGTTGCCAACAAAGTTGTTTTCGCCCTGTCAGAGAATGTACAAAATCGGGAAAATGTAATGGACAATTTTTTTTTCATCCACACATTGTTTCTCCACCTAGCCCAACACAGAACAGGAGCATGTGTCAATATATGTGTGAACCAAAAGGGTGTACTGAATGAAATAAAACCAATGAAACCCAGCAGGTGTTTCTCCCATCAC